TCACACTTCAACCTCCTGCCACAGCCTTGCCTTATTGTTGAAGATGCTCATTTGAACCAACGTCTATAATTCAATCCCAGTATGCTCACGTATGGCAACATAGTATATACATTTATTCTACAATGGTTATGAACAGCTCTGAATTTACCTATGGTCACCATAAGCACTAGCAGCCTCCACTCACATGGGCCTTCCAAAAAATTGATTTGAAGAAAAAGTGAAGGAATACATTGCATTTTGTGGATTTCAAGAGACCCCTTATTTCAAATAGCTTTAGGGCCTTATCAAGCCTAAATCTGGTCCTGGTTATGAATAATTTGAAATGTATCTACTTTTGTACAATATAAAAAGGTTACCAGTACTGAAAATCTTTTGCATTCATCCAGTTTCTAGTGTTATATTGTACCCTGATGTGTGAAATGGAAAGACTGCTTTGTTAGTAGTTGACCCTAGCTGATACAACTAACTCTACAACTGTGAAAGGGACTACCATTGATCAGTACATTTTGAGTTGTGACAAGTAATGACAAGATCTCATCCTAAACAGCATAATACACATGGAGGTAGTGGTACTTGACATTTTAAAATAGATTATGGATAAGAATTTCAATTTTTTTTATATTGATCTTTCAAATTAGTTAATGAATGATTGTATTTTACATGTCCTATTTTAATTCATAAATTATATGGAGATATCTGTACTTTCAAAATGTGATTCTTTTGTTATTGTTATGTAATGATGACTTGTTTTTTACACAATGAATAAAGGCATTCAACTTGTGTTTTATTATTTTCTCATGTGGGTTTTTATTTTAATATCTTACTATGTCTAAAGAACTTGTAGGCTATTTTTTTTTTTTGTGGCAGTTTGTTTTGTTTTTTTAATATGTCACGGTACTTTTCCATTATCCCTCATCTACTTCTGTCTTTCCTATTTCTCATTCATTGTTTCTCTTTCAATCTCTTTCCACCATAAAGTTAGGTCTGTTGCAGTCACATGTTGCATAATGAGCAAAGAGCCAAAAAAAGAATATTTTTTTTGTGTACATTTTATTTAATGAGTTATCTTTCATGAAATAAAAAAAATAAAAAAGACATGACTCCTGTTTTTCTCATTCTTTTTAAAACCACAAATAAATAAATAAATACTTCGCTTCTTGATTATTCCCATAAAATAGTTTGATTTATAACAATTTAATATTTAAAACACTGGTACAGTTTAAAAAAGTCACTTTCAATCATTTTCATCTGTATTAAATCTACAAGAACACACACACACAATAAGCTCTTACACTGTAGGCCATGACAGAATCCTATAGACCTCTGCTTTATTCTTTGTCCCCCATTCCTTCCATTATATAAAAAAGTTTTGTTAAATGATATCCAAATTATTCTTTAGTATTATGACACATTAAGGTAACAGGGGTTGTAATGATTTTAAATATCTGATCAAATTTTCTATCAGACAAATAAAATATCAATTTTCTAAAATTTGCTTTTAATATGAAAAGATCCTCATAACGTCAGTGACACTATATCATTTTGGAGTTAATAATCATTTATACATAGGTTTTGAAATGATTCATTATTGCTGTTTGTCAATTGTTAATGGTGTTTGTTATATATATCAAATAATATTCAATTTAACAAGACACATGTTTGACACTGTTTAAATCTCATTTTTTTTTTATTCCACAAAGATTTTTTAAAAATGATCACACATTGTTAACAAAGAGTTGATTCAAAGACTGAAAGAAGTACAGCTGGGCAAACTATACGATAAAAGAAAATTTAGAACTGCTTTGATAGATAATATTAAATTCTAGTTAAATATTAAAATACTTATAGTCTTAAATTAAATTATTATTAAATTATTTGTATCAAAAGGAAATATTTCACATTTTTAACTTTTTAAGTAAATCCTCCCTTCCTCCTTCATTCCTATCTTCAGTACAAATGAGTTCCAAAGAAATATGTAGGGGACTATATAAGAGAATATTCATAGCACACTCATACTAGCAGACATGGTCATGAATTAAACATTGATCCATTAAGAGGCACAACTCCAACACTTTACATATTTGTCTGTTGTCTTAAATCATGTAAACAGACAAAACTGCATCATTCCACCATTTACATTTAAGTTATAACAATGTAAGCAAAAATAAACAAAATTAACCTTATTATTTAGACATAAATTCATCAACCAACAAAAATGTACACAAGATTACATATAAAAAAAAGACATTTGTTTACTAGGATGATCTAAAATGTCAAAGACACACACTCACACTATAGATATGAAAGCTTATGGTAAATGGAGCTGTACATTGTTCTTTTAGGGTTTAAGGCACCACAAATTGAATAATGTCCAAACATCTTAATTGTGGGTTAAGACATACTTTTAGTAAAAAGGAAAAAAAAACACACAGTTACAATCTTTACTGCGTCTATTACAAAGTGGACTGAACTAGCCTGGCTAAACTTATAAATCAGGTAATAGGATTTATCAAAGTTGTTAGACTGTCTTTTTTTTCTAACAATAAGCAAATGCTATTTTATAGAAATTTAGATCTATAACTATATGATTATAATATCTTTGTTCTATATATAGATCTATATAGGCCTACTTAAGATCTATATTTAGCTAGATCAGTAGAGGCAACCGAGTCTCTGGACCAATTCTTATCACCCCAATGATTCAAATACAAAATTTAAAAAGTATATCAGGGATAGGGTTTATAGTAAGTCCTTGTAAGATGCCATCTCCAATTAATATTCACATTAAGCGTGTCTGTCTACATAGCTTTTGTCCTTTAAGAAGTTAGAAGAGGCAAGGAAAGAAATAACGGAAAGTTAATGCACCTGAAATAAGCAGATAGGCATTGTGGGAAAGGAATAAAAGGGAACAAGCCTGTAAGATAATGTTATGGTAAATATAAAAGTGTAAATAATCTTTGAAGAAATATACATAGTTAAAAATCTTAATAATTAAAATTTAATGATTTACAGATATCACTTGATCTTGGGAGAAAAACCTAGCATTGAACAGCACTTTTGATCACAATGAACTACTTGTATAATGAAGGCTGAGATAGTGTGATGTGAAATGGAGATCTGTATAAGTTAGCCGTGACCATGCCCGTGTTTCCGAATCTTCCAGGCGTTCTTCCAAATGTTGCTGAAGCAGACAGTGGAGTGGAACCTGTAGTAGATGCCCAAGGGGACACTGACGTGGGTGAAGATTGCCCATGCATCATTTCCATAGAACTCCACCTGATAAAATATATATTATGAATATAAATGTGCTTTTCATATAATAGTTATACAAGAAAAATATATGAATCTTAAAAAACAATAACAAAACTTATATTAAGTGTAATTGTATCAAAAGCTTGGATCAGCCATCTAATTAAATTTGTAATTGATCCAGACTAACAATCTAACAATAATACATCTGTTCGATTAGAAATACTTTTACGAATTGTTTTTGTTTGGCGCAATTTCAAGCTTGTAACTTCATCAATACGCTACGACTCACGTTGCTATCACGTGATAGACCAGCTGGGAAAAGGAAGGGAAGAAGGGGGGCAGGTTACCGTGATCTCTTTTTATGAAAAAGGTTTGTACGACTTGAATTCGAACTCGAGGGCTCAAGCCAATACACTAACCACTGATCCAGCGAAGGTTTCAAACTTTTAAGTGACGACATAATTCTCTACACAAAATTTAAAGGGGACTACTACCAACTTATACATCTGTCAAGTACAATTGCTTTCCATTATTCTATACCAAAAAAAAGGAATTAATTATCAGAAATTAATTAACTAATTGGTTAGTCTTTTTGTATTGATTCTCGTTTTTTCATAAAAAAAAGAAATAATTGTGGGAATTTTAACTTGATTCGAGTTGTACAAAAATTGTACCAGACAAACAGACGGACAGACAGACAAAGTGAGTAAATATAACCTTTTTTTTTTTAAAAGTAAAGGAGTATTAAATTTAAAAAAAAATGGCGTGTACTTTAGCAAGCTCAAAAATGTAAAGCCTCCAGAAGTGACCTTTTTACAGTGTTACTCAATTCTCAACCAGCAGTTGCCGGGACTAGCAGAAGTGGGAGTAAACTCCCTTCCCAACGAAGGCTGCATTTTTTTTTCAGTTATGAAAGTTAAAGAACTGGCGATGCAACAAAGGCATCTTTAAAATATCTAGCCAAGTTCTTACCATGTAATTGTACTCATTCGTACAAATGGCAGGGAAGCTTATTTTTTTTTTTTTAGAAGGCAACTTTATTTTAGTAACTTGTATAGTAATGACACCTTCAACTCGACCTTTTTTTTTGTTTGTTTTACACTCACAACAGAACATAAAAATTTACTAGCTTATATCCCTTAAACATGTGGCGTACTATTAAACACTGACCTGTATAGGATTGTGCTGTGGTGTCTGTGTTTCAAAAGTGTTCACTGCCCACATGGCAAAGTTAGAGATGAGTAAAAATGTGATAAACTCACGCCCTGGTTTCTTCCTTTGCTGAAACAAAAAGTTGAAAGTGTATTGAATTGACTATTGATCATTTAAATTTCAAAAAAAGGTTGTGGGTAAAAAAAAAAAGGTTGTGGGTAAAAAAGGGGTTGTGGGTAAAAAAAAAAGGGTTGATAGTACCCCTTTTAAATCTAGATATCTATTGGGACTAATAATGCAAAGCTCCTATGTTACTAAGGCAAATGGTGTACAGGGAAGTTATGACGTGACCGGCTCAACAACCAACCTCGTCCCTTAATTATCAACGTGTGTGTCAGGTATTCAATCGGTTGGGTGGAATCAGGGACGTTAAAAAACTCTATATGTTTACTGAGATTCGAAATCGGGACATCTAGGTTAGGAAGCCAAGAGCTTTACCATTCACCCACCATGCCTTACTTGAACTTACAATAAAACCATGAATCTCCTTAACTTTCTAGTACAGTAAAATTCCCTTTTCAGACCTTGCGAGAAATGATGTTAACAAGCATGATGTCACGTGGCCAGCACAACAACCAACCGTGTTTACTTTTCACAAATAAAGTCAGCTACACACTAGAGTTGGTTGGATTAGGGGCATTCTAAAAATCCCAAAATTTAAATCCCAGTCTTCACCTAGATTTGAAACCAGGACCCCATGTTCAGAAGCCAAGTGCTTAACCACTCAGCCATGTGGCCCCATAGACTTTGTAGTGACAAGTTTAATTCATATTAAATATAGCATTATAATAAAAAGTTAAACTTTTGGAATTGGATTTTTTTTTTCAACTAACAAAAAGTTTGAACCCAATTTTATTTTTAAATTCTTTTTTTTTTTATAGTAGGACAATCTGTTCTATTGTTTTGAACTATTGGCTTATGTCAATAGAATACATGGATTAGTGTAGCATCCTTATGTCAATAGAATACGTGAATTAGTGTAGCATCCTGCTGTTCTCTAGTCAACTAATGCCAGCTATGCTCGACAAACAACTTGCCCTTAACACGTTGCTAGCTTAGACTTACCTGCAACTCATCCGACGCGGTCATTCTGTCACCGGCCAGCATAAAAAGTGTCTGCGCTGTTGACTGTAGCAACATGAAAATGTTGGACAAGATGGTCAGCGCTGACCTGGTGTCTGCAGGCGTATGCAGGATAGAGGCTACAAGACTGTAAAATATATATATATATATATAATTTACTATCATTTCTTATGTCTTACTATAAAGTTGTTCCCCTTTTAGACCTTAGGCCTACGATCTATAGGGCAGATGATCTAATGGTCATCTTTTACTATGGCCTATTGTTAACGAGGGTTTATTCTGTATAGCATAACCAATTTATAAACTTAAAATACTGGGTGAAACACAACCAATAACCACTAAGTTTTATATTAAATTTACTTAATCCGTGTAGCTTATTAACCTTAAACTATGATTTGAGAATCAGTTATAATTGAATCAGTAAGAGAAAACAAAAAGGTCAGAAGGAACCTGTTTTTAAAGAAAATATTTATATAATTATAAGTGGCAAGTGCTACCGTACCGAGAGTCTTGACTCCAATCTTGAGACATGGATTTATTTGGATTTTTACTTTAGGTACTTAATGGGTATCTGACATTAGTTTAGGCAAAGTAAAGGCAGTTGGTCGTTGTGCTGGCCACATGACACCCTCGATAACCATAGATCATCTGCCCTATAGTTCACAATGTCTGAAAGGGGTAACTTTACTTTTTCTATGATCTGACCGAGGAACTAAAACCTGTGACACTAGGTAGAAGAATATAAAAGTGTGATAGGCTTTGGTCTTGTAATTGCATAATAACTGTCTGGCTTCGACAGATTACTCAGAAGATGTTTTGAGTTTCTTGTCCGGGCGTATCAGACGCGTTAAAAACTACTAAAACCACAAAGCCTATTGGAATAATAGATGAGTCCAGACCGTAAGATACTTGATTGAAGTTGAATACATAAAGGTCACAGGTCGAGTCTATGTCCGTAATACAATGTTGTCACCTTGAAGTCCCAACACCAACTGACTTATACTAACATAAACACGCTAACCCCCACCCAATACACACACACTATCGGTGACGCCACTAAATGTCGCTTTCAAAGTCTGTCAACTATGGTGCATCTCTATACTAACTAAGTGCCTAACTAAGTGCCTAACTAAAGGACGTTACTCTTGACAAAGCTATTTATAGAAGTCTTCCAATATGACTTCACAGTGTACCTGAAGATGATGAAGACAAGGAGACCAGTGTAAGAGATCAGCACCAGAATGTCCTCTAGGTCAATCTCGTGCTCGTTGTGGAAGGTCAGGTTCTTCATCTTCCATGCGGCCAGCAGAATGGCGATCATAGTTACAGTGTAGATAAACGTCTCTGACAGGTGGGTCAGTATTAGCCCAGACAACTGGTCAAAAAGAGAAAACAGAATAAACTTATACAGGTGTATTGTCCATGTCAAAAACTATTTTTTTTATAGAAAACAAATCCGTAATATAAAAATGTAAAAAAAGTTCCCCTTTATAGACCATGCGTTTTTTTGGCCAACGGTTAACGAGTAGGGTGTCATGTTGCCAGTACAACGACCAACCGCCTTAACGTTCCCTAACTAATGCCAAGTACCCAGTTGGGTGGACTCAGGGGCGACCTAAAAATCCCGAAATTCAAAATCTCAGTCTTCACCGAGATTCGAATCCAGGACCCCAGGTTCGGAAGCCAAGCGCTTAACCGCTCAGCCACCGCTCCCCATACAATAATGTAAGCTTACTAAATATTTTTTTACAGGTAAAATATTTTTACGATTTAAATCTAAAGACATTCTAAGTACTTTTAGTAAAGATCAATCAGCCATAAATATAAAGAGGTATACCTTTTTTAAATACAATATTTATTATTCATTGATCTTTAAAACAAGTTCATCTAGATGTAGATCACATATACTAGTATTGAGAAAAGTTGACAAGCTGTAACCCTACTCTCAACAACAAGGAGCACTATCAAGACCAATAAGACGCAACCATAATTAAATAACACGAAAAAAACAACCATCTTAGATGTCATTGTGCGAAATGTGACATAAATAGAGTACTGAAAAGATATTTAGCACAGTTTAATCTATTAATTCGCTGTGAGGGAAAAAAGAGTTTACCTGTCACTTTCCAACACGCTTTGGTCAAGAAACTTTAAACATAATAATTAAACTGTTTCGTAAAATAATTTGTAAGCTACGACTTCATCCTAGAGACCGAGCAGAATCTCATTTCACCATGAACTCGAAGATGGAATTTAAGTCCCAGCTTCGCTTTGAAAGCTTATGACAGTCAAGCGATAAGGTTGGTTGATGCTATTGCAGATGTTTCAAATTTACTTTCAGATTCAGCTAATTCTTTTCCTTCAAAGTCTACACAAATTAGGCATCGGTAAATCACGACAGTCCCAGGAATCCTTTTTAGGTAAAATATAAAATCGTTTCATCGCGTCGATTCAGCGGCGGCCCAACAGTCTCAATGGGTGCTGGCCCAACGGGCATTTGCGCGGATTCACATATACCCAGTCCGCCTCTTGTAACGACGGAATTCTACTGTCATTCTATTCGTTATCGATTAACTAATATCTTCAATTAAAATATCGTCACAATTATAAATAAATGACTTAAGTTTAATCATTCAATATGATCAGTCACTAAAGTCTCGTCGACCAGTCACTTAAGTCTCGTCGACCAGTCACTTAAGTCTCGTTGACCAGTCACTTAAGTCTCGTCGACCAGTCACTTAAGTCTCGTCGACTAGTCAATAAAGTCTTGTTCACTAGTCACTTAAGTCTCGTCGACTAGTCACTAAAGTCTCGTCGACTAGTCACTAAAGTCTCGTCGACTAGTCACTAAAGTCTCGTCGACTAGTCACTAAAGTCTTGTCCAATATTTACTTAAGTCTTGTCCACTATTCACTTAAGTCTCGTCGACTAGTCATTTAAGTATCGTCGACTAGTCATTAAAGTCTCGTCTACTAGTCATTAAAGTATTTTCATGCACACAAAATACTGGTCAATCAAACAAACACACTGACTATCACACTAGTCACTTGAAATCATGGTTCCCCCCATAAACCCTACAAAGTGAACAGAGCTTTATACATTATGAACATGTTTACTGTACCTGCATGTTCTCTGAGTTCACCAGCATGTAAAAAGCAATGATGGAGATGATGGTACCGACCATCATCAGGATACCCAGAAACAGGCCTCTGCTGCTGCTGGTGCAGTCCACACTCATTCTGTGCACTCTCTCGTGGTCATCGTCGTCTGAATCGGAGGGGTGATGGCGCTTGGGCTTGTTACCCACATTCTTCCACATAATATACAATATACCTGTAACACATAATATACAATATACCTGTAACAGTAACACATAATATACAATATACCTTGTAACCGTAACACATAATATACAATATACTTGTAACAGTAACACATAATGTACAGTAAACCCGTAACAGTAACACATAATATACAATATACCTGTAACCGTAACACATAATATACAATATACCTGTAACAATAACACATAATGTACAGTAAACCCTTAAGAGTAACACATAATGTACCTTAGACCTGTAACAGTAACACAATGTAAGTAGACCTGTAACAGTAACACATAATGTCTAGTATACCTTTCGCTTGTATCATTAAGTAATATCCTTATTTAGTTGGCAAAGGGGATTTATTTTTATATGTCGTTCTTGATATAGTTTAGTTTATATTTCTTTATAAATCTCTCTCAATCGCCCTCTTTTTAAATCTTGTGTTTACCTTATATCACCCCATATTTCTCAATATCTTTTCTTTTCCTTTACTATGCTTTTGTATTTATTACTTAAAGAATGTAAGCTTGACCGTCTAACTAAAATGTTAACAAACTGGAGATAACTATATTCACAATGTATTGCAGAAATCCCCTAGTTCAGAGGTCGGCAACCTTTTGAGTCGGAAGAGCCAAAAATTACAATTAACAAAATTTCAACGTTTCTTAAGAACCACAAGATTTGTTTTTTTTCCAAACATTTCGTTAAGAATTCTTTAAACTGACGATGGTAGAGTGCTTTCGACAAGATGCTGTTAAAAATCTTGATTAACAAATTCATGACCTTAACTACTCCGTCCAGAAATGTTTGGACACAAAGCGCTTCTTGGTATATTATGCAGTGAAACGTAAAAATTTCATGGTTTAATTTTGCTCCAAAGAATCGTAGTTGCCCCTTTATTTTTTTCTTGTCATACTTCTGGCTCCATCAGTTTCTATTGAAACGATTTAGTTATATCGATTTTATTGTCTTCAATGTATTTTCGCACGACCTTAGCTCAATCTTCTCCTAAAGTTTGTCACGAGTGCGGTAGCAATCCTAGAAGTTCTTCTTTTGGAACTTGGGAACACATATACCTGACAAAAAGACCAATTTGTGCCGTGTCTTTTATGTCGTTGGACTCATCTATATCAAATAATAAGGCAGAAGAAAATTGAATATCTTCCACCTGCAAATATGTTACATTTCAAGACATGGAGA